TCATTGTTTGCTGCAGTTGTCACTGGTATTTTATTTTTGGGTAAGGATGAGAGAAAGTGACTTAAAAGCCAGTAAGTCTGGGGATGAGACAGGATAATGTTTTCATTATACTATGTGCTGTAACAATTTTATGTATAAACATACTATTAAATTCTGAAATGCTTAAAATCAAATGTGAAATTAACCACAACTTGATCTGTAGTGATGTAGACTATTCTGTTAAATCCTATGGTAAATTTCTGCAGTGCTTTGTGTGAACTGGTGAATGTTAATGTTCTCTTCAGAAAAGTTAATATATATCCAAGATCTGTGTGTGGGTTTTTGTTTTTAAGTTCAGTATTTTGATTGTTTACCCTTAAAGTTCTGTCCTGTGCAAAAAGTACAAGTTTACCTGCTTTATAGTATTTTAATTTCGTACAGCAGGCAATCATCTAAATATATAGGTGCATTTCCCTTGCTAACTCAACTCATTTATAAATATGTAACAGATGTTGTGGATTAGTTTATAATAATTTATAGAGTAATATGTAGAAAACAAAATAAACAGGGAAGGCAAATTGTGTATAATATAAGTTAAAGCCCACTGGGATCCTCTTCCTACAGGGGATTGGGGTGTTGTACGTGTAAACTTGTAAGATTCGCAGAATCTGGATCAGGTGATCTCTTACAAGTTTAAATATCCAGTAAAAATCTGTGTTGCTTTTTCTGGTTCATGTTTTACGTCTGACAAAATCATTTTTTAAGTTCTCTGAGGTGGTACTCTTGTGTTGTAATTCTAAGTATGATATGCTATTCAAATAGTATCCTCCTTCTAATGTGTAATATTAAAGGATTGTATTTTTGTTGAAATACTTTTTTGGATGCAAATTATTCCTGGTTAAAAAGAGATGTGCTGATAATTGAACCATAATAAAAGCATTGGAGTAAATGGATTTACTCTCAGGCAGAGTTCTGTGGCAGAACAAATTTTCTGCAAGAAAATTTTGGCCTAGAATCTTCCCTTTCTAAAATGATCACTGTGGGCACTTAAATTTTTAATATCTTACTGGGATACTTGAAAAGAATGTAACCTTTCAGAAAGTTTTGAACAGTTAACCTTCAAAAGAGTTGGCCATTTGAAAATACATGAAAATAAGTTTCTAAGAAAAGAGTTGGCCACTTGAAAATATAGGAAAGTAAGTTCCTAAAAGTACAGTCACATGTAAGCACAGAAGTTGGTAGGAGAGGTGGAGCGTTTTTTGTTTTGGTGGGTTTTTTTTTTTTTCTTTAGTCCTTCTTTGCTACAGCTCCAGTCTATAAGGTGGGGAACAGTAGAACTTCCAAATTTCAGTGGGTTTAATGGAAATATGAATTCTAGTTAATCTGGTAAACTACAACTAGTTTAGATAACTAGTCTTCCATTTTTAGTTTGGTTCTCTGTTTCATGTGTCCCAATAGAACAGAAATCCGTAAGCTGAATAAAACTTCTAAAACTTAAACCAAAAAAGGTAACTTACCTTCTTAATGCTGACCCTAGAAAAAACTAAAGCTACTTTTAGGAAAGTTTTATGGGAGGAAGAAGAGGACAGAGAAGCTGTATGGTGTCTCTTTGTGCTTAAATGTAACTTTCTCCTTAAAAAACCCCAAAAAGCACCGCTGAACACACAGAGTTAATGCAGAGATCAGATTTGTACCAATTTTAAAGTTACAGAAAATTATTAAGGAAAAATCAGCAAAGATCCATGTTTCTTGCTCTTGTGATGCATGAAGAGAACTGCATTTTCTTGACAAACAGCTTCCATAAATAATGCTGGAAATCTGGATTTTAGTGTACTAGAACTATGCTTTGTACCGTAGAAGCTTTAGTTTTTATATTGTTGGAATACAGTAATGTCCCATTTTTCCCTCTCCCATTCTGAGAAACTTCTCTAACTATTTTATATGGTGCCAGATCCATTTCTGAGTCCTTCCCTCCTCTCAGTCTGGGCAGAAGTACCAAGAACACAAGGAGTACATTAGTTTGTGTTAGTTACATGAATCTGTGGTAGGAGAATAGAAAGTTCTTTTGTTTAAAAATAAATAAATAAATGAACTGTAAATTAGGGAGGAAAGCCTGTTTCTGTGTAATCCCACTTCATGTAAAAACAAGGCTATGTCTCTTTTCTTAACATGGCAGAAAAGTAGCCAAAGCAGACAAGCAACTTCCTGCAAATTCCCAGTTCAAGGCTGTGTGAAAAGGACATACATATGCTCCTTGTAGAGGAAATTATTTTTACCTCTGTATGCAGCATTCAGGATACTTTGGGAGAGCATAGAGGAGAGACAATGACCTAGTGTTGGAGAAAATGGTTTAAGATGAGAGAATTGAAGAGCTGTATCTTTACTTGATCACAATGATAAAGGTGAACTGAATGTTTTAGAGACACTTTCATTAGGAAAAAAAAATCAGATCCTTAATTAATGAAGAAAGCTATAACAGCAGCGTGTAGCTGGAAGTTTTAAAGTGATCAAGGAGAGCAATACTATCTCCATGCATGTATTAGTCATGTGGATTGTGTTCAGTATAGAGGTAGCTGTGAAATGGAATGATGTATGCAGGTGGACAGACTAGATGATTTCCAGATCAAAGTCTTCTAAGGGTCTACATTATTATCTCCATGCTGTATCTGCTTCCCTCCCACCCCCTTCTTGCCATAATTCTTGGTCAGGGTATGCATGATGAGTTCCAAACTTCTTGACCAATGCAAGGTTCCAAATTTCTGGACCAGCAGCTTACTGAATCATTATAGGAGTCCTTCGATGATGAGCAGACGCTCTTTTTTGCTCTAGGTGGCGAACCTATCAGATGCAGAAGTGTGTTTTTCCTTCTAAGGGAGGGAAGCTATTTTTCAGCACTAACAGAAATAGTTTGTGGGTTTTTAAAAAAGTATTATTTTTAGGTAACGCCAGGACAAAATTCCCATTAAATAAAATGTTATATTTTTATTTTCTTCCATCTGAAGCGATAGAATTTATTGCAAGAATTCAGTTGTTGTTAACTGTTTGGTTTGAATTCCAAAATCTTGCTTTTGATTATGCTACTAAGTGTCATCTTAGGAAGAAATCAGAGTGAAATGCATTTCCTAGAAAAGTTGCAAAGTCAAGGAATTTTTTACTTTCATCCTACTCTTCCACGCTATAGATACATTGTGAAGGTATGCTTTTAGTGTTAACTCGGTGTTAATAATACAGGTCTACCAATGCTCCTCTGAGTCTTTTCTGAAGTGATTGGCACCCCATTGTTCTTAAATAAACAAATACAAAATAAATAAATAAAAAGACCATCCCCGGAAATTCTCCCCCAAACAGAACTCTGGAAAGGCAGAACGCCTTCCCAGAGTGCCAGTTGTATGTATGCAAGTGTCACGCAGTAATTATGTGGTAAAATGAGAATCACTGTTCAGCTGGTTATGTGGGCAAGCCTTTAGTTTGCCTCATGAAGAATCTAGGAATAGCGCCTCCAAAAATTATGAACTGTTGTGTTAAGATTGAGTCTTTAAAGAATAAGTTTGGTTTGTTTTTTTTATTTGCCTGCTTCAAAGTTGACCCATGTCTGGGGAAAGAATGAGGACCTATTTCAGGAAACAAAACATTTAATGTGCCTGCAAAAATGCAACATTCCTGTGTGTTGACTGGCAGAGACCCTGTTTAACTGCTTCCGATCTCTTAAGTATTTGGAACTGGTGTTTTCCACTCATTCACGTCAAGTGAACCATTCCACTGCTTTCTATGTGTAATTCCCATACAGCAGTTAAATGTATGGGCTTAAAGATTTCCTTCTGCCACCCTCCTTTCTCCTGAAAGTCTCAATCATTGCTTTCTTTGTCCTTTTAATCCTCCTGTCTTAAAACCTTTTGATGTGCCTCTTGCTATATTTTCTTGTCCATAGTCTAGAACTCGCTTAGCGTTCTGCCCCATGAGTGGAAGTGGATATAATGGTTGTGCCTATGGTCTAGTCATAGCTCTGTGTCTTGTGTACTTGCCCTGACTGCCTGAAAATCGTAGTCTAGTTTGTTTAAAATGGAATTGTTTTCTGTTGTCCTTACTTTAATATTTCAGGCTCTAAACTCTAGCAGTTCAGCTGCTGATTTGTAAGTGGTGTAGCAGTTTCTGCAAAACTGGAGGTTTGGTAATCCTGTAGGTGGTCAGGCACACGCTTGCCGCTCTGCACCACTGTTGATTGCTAGCTAAGCTGCCTTGCTTCAAGAGTTGATCTTAGCTGTTAACACAGCACTGTCTTCTCCAAGAGCACTCTGGCTCCACTGCGCTGATTATGCAAGACATTGGCAGAATGCTGTGATACTGCAAAAATTGAACATGTATTGGAAACTTTTATAGCAAGACTTGTGATAAAATTGAGTTGACAGTCCTCTAGAGCTATGTAATAAAATAGAATTGAAAATATGCCATGCTTTTGGCCATCCTTTCAATTGATTGTTTCTGTGCTTTATACTGTACCAGCTGTATATCTAGTCATGTGAGATGATAAAGATTGATGTCATTCTAAAAAGGGTTAAAAAACTATAATTCAATAAAGAATTAGAAGGGGACATATATCTGCAGTGAAAGATGATGCCTCAGTGTGTAGAGCTGGTGAAGGGTAGAAAGGTTTTGCTTGCTTCATCTTTCATGTTTTGAGTTGGTTGGGGGGGTTTTTTTGTTTCACATCAATATTCTGAAAGGGGAGAGTTTTGCCTTTTAAAATACTGTCTCCCTGTTCCTCTGTGCTTCCATACTATTGTTCTGTCCAGCTGGTTTCTCTACTCTTAAGTAGTTAAATAACAGGACAGGGAGTGTCTTTTGGTTCAGTGTGTGCTAAGGCCTGAAAGAATTGATCAAAACGATAATTTAAAATTAATCTAGATAAATCATCATGTATTTCTTTAACTGAGGATTTGCACAAAACCATCTAGGGGGTTGTGGGAAGAGAGTCGGGAAACCTTCCTGGGGTACACAAGAAAGCACATCCCTCTACACTCACAATGATGTTTCCACCTCAGGGTATCCCTGAGGTCCCAGCTTCTGATCTCCTGAGACCACACAATCAAAGGAGTATGGGGCACTGGGCCAGACTGGAAAGAAAAGTGCATGTTGGAGCTTGGAGGAAGTAAGGAGGCAGCAGTGGAAATCCAGTGCTGCTATTTGCTTCCTCCCAACCTGTTTCTCTACAGAGCAGAGGTAGTCCTCACTTGTCATCCTTCTCCCACTTTCTTAAGTAAGCTTAGTTGTGTCTAGTAATTACAGTTGGGGACAGCGATGGTCTTTCTGTTGTAGAGTTTGGGCAGCGTCGTTAGCTTTATTTCTATTAAATTAACAATTAAAACAACATTCATCTGTACAGTGCTAGTCCTGATGGAATTCTGGTTCATGAATGGGGTTTGCAGGCATTACTGCCATGCAAACAATGAGCGTGCAAGACGACACTGCTTCCTGTTTTAAAATTCACTAGGCACTTATGGCATGCCGTATTGAATTTCATTTGCTTCAGTTTAAAAGAATGAAAACTTCAAGAACTTCTTTACCAATATTAATTTTTCTTTTAAATATCTTCAGTTCTTACTACTGGATAATGGTATGCAGTGGTTGACTTTGAATATTCGAAAGAAATAAAAACAGTGTTCTGTTCTATTTTTCAGAGAATGCAGAATCAATTGATCTCAAACAGTTTTTCGACCTACATTTCTCACATATATATTATGTGTTCTTTGAAAACTTTGTGACTATTGAAGTAGGTCTTAAACAAAAAGGTAAGTGTTTCAAAGAACGCTTTTTGTCTTGATGCTTGTGGTTTTGTTATAAAATAAAGCAGGGTGTTATAAATAAAGCTGTGTGTCTGTGGTCACAAATGGCAACATTAGCTGTGCAGAAAAATGTGTAAGCACTAACTTTGCAAATAAAGGCAGAGCAATTAGAGGTGCATGCAGTGGAGGTGGGCAAGGAGAGTTTATTCTCTGACTGGTTTTGCCTTTTTGCAAAGTGAGGATTCTTAAGGTGTTACACTTTTTGTGTTCTGCAGAATTATTCTATGTTTTGTTTAACAAGATATTGTGTAACTTAATCTCTACCAGCTGTTGATGCCATAATAGAAAATTATACAAACTGTAACTGTTACAAACCATAAATATGAAATATACTTTATTTGCAGAAGGAATGCAAAATTATGGTTGTAGAAATGCATGTTTTTGTTTTACACATCTAAGGATCTTTGTCAGTGTTCTTCACATTTTGTTTTGATAATAAAAGTGTATCTTCTATTTATTTTTAATTGCATCTAGGTCACAAGTCTCAGAGAGAAGAATTAGATTCTATTCTTTTTATTTTTGAGGTAAGATAACTTGAGTATTCCTGTATGAGTTTTCTGCTTTGAATTAAGTCCTGTTAAATAATAACAGTACAGCTATTCTACAGTTGGCTGGAAATGCGCTTTACATTTAACAGCATTCCTTTTTCCTTTTGCTTAAAGTTGAATATGTGTGCTTTGTGTGAGAAGAAAAAGAATTTGACTTGCAGTTTTGCAGGAAGATGTCTTAACTGGAAAAAGATGTTTTCTGCCTCTGCAGATAGTTCATTACTTTTTGGTGGTGGTGTTCCCCCCCCACACACTTCCAATGTATTACGCTTTGAGCTTTGTGTGAGAAGAAAAAGAATTTGACTTGCAGTTTTGCAGGAAGATGTCTTAACTGGAAAAAGATGTTTTCTGCCTCTGCAGATAGTTCATTACTTTTTGGTGGTGGTGTTCCCCCCCCACACACTTCCAATGTATTATAGACTTTGAAATTCGTATAAATGTGATCTCTGATTAGTTGTGATCTTTTTGACTTTTTCATTGCATGTTATCTCTGATTTTTCTCATAATAGATTACTACTGTAGAATTAGTTTTTATAGATCCCTTGTATTTTCTAAAAGATTTATTATTTGAAAATAGCATTTCACAATATCCTTACCAAAAGCATATCTTGACTTAATTAAGATGAACTAGAAACTAATTTAATGAAATGGGAACATTTCTGGGCAGAGACTATAGTTTAGAAATAGCTTAGAACGTCAAGTTTTTGTCTTTTCTTTTTGATGGCAGCTTCTAACTATAGAACAAGTATTGTGGTTTTTAAAAATATGTGAAATTGAAAGCTGATGAATGCTCATCACATGGTTGAACACAAATTCAAGATTGATTTATTTATTTAGTAAGGTACGTTGGTGCTTAAAGCTGTAGGGTTAGCTGTTACAAGGAGAGTGAATCTGAAGAGAGCTGGTTCATTTGTTCACTAGTTCCTATGTAAAGGAGTATTAGGTGACCTGTGCTTTGGAAACAGTTGCACAGGCTGCTGGAGGGCCATGGCCAGGAACTCATTTGGGAAATCAGGTTATTTATAGAATCATAGAATAGTTTGGGTTGGAAGGGACCTCTAAAGGTCATCTAGTCCACCCCCCCTGCCATGGAGCAGGGACATCTTCAACTAGATCAGGTTGCTCAGAGACCCGTCCAACCTCACCTTGAATGTTTCCAGGGATGGGGCATCCACCACCTCTCTGGGCAACCTGTGCCAATGTTTCACCACCCTCAGCATAAAAAATTTCTTCCTTCTATCTAGTCTAAATCTACCCCCCTTTAGTTTAAAGCCATTCCCCCTTGTCCTGTCGCAACAGGCCCT